TTTATTATCTATTTGAAATTTTGGAAAACTTTAGCGAATTTTTAATCAACAAACTCAATGGCAACACTGTAGGAGGAGGGGGGAAAATTATCTCCAGCGCGCGAGACTGTATATGGGAAATTCTAAAGATATGCCGTTTTGTTGTTTCTAAGTATTTTGCGATACTGCTGTTGAATTAAATTTTTTACAGCTTAAGTGAGTAGAACATGTTGTTTAATAAATAAAGGTGTAAGGATTATCTTAATTTGTCTAACAGTTAATTTTGAGTTAAAGTTACTGTCCTATTTTTCCTTTATTTCAAGCTTATAACTTTCGGTCAGAACGTATTTTCAGAATCGCGATTGAATGCAAATGAGAAGTATTTAACGGCGAAGTTCTACTGACTTCGTTAGAGAGAACCAGTGATTCTGACTAGCGCGCGTCCGCCTTTTTAGGACACTCTTTCTCAAGCTATTATTACGCTCGGCCGTACTTTAGGCCCTTGATAGCTTCGGCTATGTCCTTTTATTTAATAGTTAAGTTTAATTTCTAGTTTCTGAGTTCAAGCCCGAGTAGAGGCTTTATTGTAAAGCTCCAAGAAGGAGTTCAGTGAATTTAATTTTTAATAATAAAGAGTATGTAACCCTTCTCAAGTTTCATTTTCTGTTTCAGGAATTCAAGCAATTATTCGCTTCCCAGTTCTTAGGTTAGAATCTTACAAAGATACCTCACAAAAGTTGAAAAAACGTACTTTTGGGCCTAATATAAAATCTGAAAGCTTTCAAATTTTCTTTCTTTAATTCTGTGAATGTTCTCTATCATATAGGATTAACAATATTATCGTAAAAATCACTTTTATTCTTCCTTGAGACTCTATTAATGTCTTGAATTGTATCAGGATATTAACAGAAGTGATGTTGTATTTGTGGCATCTATAGGTATTTCAACATCTATAGGTACATTCAACTCAATCTCTTTTCGCCAGGTTGGGTTTAAAATCTGCCACAGTAATTTATAAATCCGTGTTGCGTCCCATACTGTGTTATGCTTGTCCGGTATTGGTATATTCATGTAAATCTGCTAGGAAACAACTTCAAAAGGAAATCGTTTATTGTAATAAAAATTGTGTATGCAGAAAAATGGATTATTTTTCAAAGTTTACGAAGAATTACCAGTTTACTAAGTTTAGAAAGTTTGCTAAGAAGAAATTCCTAAGTTAAGAGAGTTTAATAAGGCAAGAAAAAAAAAATCTATAGAAATTGGATTCTGCTGTTTCGAAGCGTCTGAGACCCAGCACTGGCCCATCAGTGTCCAAATGGCAAAACTGCTGAATATCGGTACTTCATCCTAGATTTTACTGCAGATCAATGGAGAGGTTATATGGGCGTTTTCATGGTTTCCCGCACGTGTAATGTGAATGCGAGCCAGCTTCTCTTAGAAAGTCCTCCATAAAGGCATCCCTTCCCTAGACAAATAGCCCTCATGTGCTTTGCCATATTCATATAAAACAAGACAAGCCTGTATTGATTAGTATATGGATTGTTTATTATGGGACTGCCTCAGAGCATTTATGTAGATAATACTGTAAATTTTTAAGTTTATTCGATTGAATTTTTGTTTTTTATATATTATTATAAACTTATGCATTGTTTGTATTTTTTATTTGTTTATTAGGCGCATTTTATGTTTTAAATTTTTTTTTCTTTAATCAGAGTTTCGGCCATTTAATGTGTTTGTAAATATTTATTTCGTGTACACTGTTGTGTATCTTGCAATTTGAAATCGCTCGACAGCTGAATTTTAAGAATAGTTGGCAGGTGGCCTCTTTCCGGGCCAGTTTGGCAACATTCTAGAAATTTACAGAATTTTCAGAGTTTTAGGAGAGATTTATTTACAAAGTTTTTAGAGGAATGGCTCTATATATGTATAATATAACATAGACATTTATAGCGTTTCCGAAGTAGGTCTATCCTATAATATCGTCTGTGTTATAGCTTCTAGTCAGTCACTTCAGAGGCATGCGGATTTGGTTAAACTCCTCCTTGACTGACTACATTTAGACTTGCTCTGTGAAGGTATTTTTACAACCGGCTATTTTCTTCGCGCGTCAAGGAGACATTTTCTTATTTCTGATTTTCTTCTCGAAATATTTATACCTGTTTATCTTGTTTGTAATCATTCTTATTTATCTCCACAAAGTGTCAATTTCTTTCTGTTCATCTATCCCAATGATTAAGCAGAGCTATACTAGCATGTAGGGTGCAACATTAGGCTTGTGATAAGAAGATAAGAAGAAAGAACACCGTAGGGTAAAAGATTTTATTCATAATGAATAATACACGGACCTTTACAGAAAATAAAAAAATACATCTATATAAATACTATGTACAAACTTTCTTGAAATTACAAATACAGAAAAGAACACGAAGTATAGGTACAGTAAAGTGCAGTTACAGTAATATACTTTTTTCATAAATTTTAGAGGCCATGCATTTTGCACTGGCCCTTTTAAAGTATTCTTTAAAATTAAACTCATCAGTTGCTAAAAACTTCTATGGATGGGCTTTAAATACAGGGCGTCTTATAAATCTGGATACTTTTCAAGAAAAACCATACAAAACCAACAGACTGGCATACTAGAATCAAAACTTATCACAGAACTTTACACATATAAACCTATCATAGTAGCGGATTTTTTTGGAGTAAGACATGTTTTAGTTCAACTTTCACCCATAGATGGCGCTGTTATAGTTTACCATAAGAAAAAACGAGGAAATTTAAGATTATGCAACATTTGTTTACTTATATTTGCTGGCCTATTATTAGCGTATCAGTTATGTACCCATGCCGGTACTTTTCTGTTATCGGGATCGGATTCAGAAATGTATGCATGCATGCATGTTTGGATGCATGTGTTCATGTATGCATGTACGTATGTAAATGTGTGTTTGTATATATATACACACATATACGCACGTATACATGTACACACGAGCCATACGTACATACATTTCTGAATCCGGTCCCGATAATAGAAGAATACCCAGTCTCTTACTATCTCCCATTTGCTCATCTTTAAAGAATTTAAACTTTTGTTTCTTTAAACTTTTAAAGAATGCAATTTATACATTTTTAAAGGGTTCAAATTTTTATACTTTAAAAATTTAAATTCATTTAATTACTTAGGTAATTAATTTATTTATTAAATTTTAAAGTATTTAAATTTTCGGATTTTTGAGATACCTGCGATTTATTATTAACACTAAGTGAAAATTTGAATTAGACCTTATTTCATACCCAAAAAATCCTCTTTTGTTATAGCACTTTATGTGCATACCCATAGTATGAAATGCCAATTTACTGATTTTATATAAGTTTTTTTAATGTGTAAATTTATATAATAGGCGCCGCTCAATTTAATCGCGTTTTGTTCACGGATATTTTAATAAACTTAACCGAATGATAAACATTTATTTATTTAGGAAGCAGTACGGCCCGCCTGACGAGCAAAATGATGACAATAATTGATACATTATTGATTATTATTGATGAATGATAGCATTAATTGACTGCGATACCGAAGGGCCCGGGTTCGAATCCCAGAGAAGGCATGGAAGTAATTGTCTGTCCCTTCATAGGAGACAAAGGCGGCCCAACTTAGTAATTAGAGTAATTCGAATTCATCTAGCGATTAGAATAATTTTCAAAAATGATTATGAGTTATATTAGAGGACATAGTCATCAAAATTAATTAAAGAAACGAAGATTTCTATAACTGAGTTATGTAATAAGTAGCATTTAAAATATTATTTTTATTAAATTTTTTTCTGGATATATTTGAAAAATTAGTTCGTTGGATATGACACTAATGCATTTTAAAGTGAAATGTTTCTTTTCAGTTGCTCAAGTTCTTAAGCAATACTGTTGTAATAACAAAAATTAATTTATGATCTTAGGATGTTTAGAATGGAAATATTCTAAGAAGCAAGAAAATGTCAGAGGTAACTAAAGGTTTTATGCCTTTTGCAATAGCAACATTTGCAAGTCATAAAACTGTGGCTTCAACTTATACTCCGCAGAAATTTGGGATTTTGTGCACCTCCCCTCAAGAAAATCAAAATGACGTCTAAAATATGAAAGAATTTTTAATACCACACGACATAAAACTAACCTATAAAATAACTCATTAAGTAATATTATTATTTTTATCGTTTTTCTTATCTAAAAATGGTATAAAATAGATGTATACTATGAACAAAATCTTCATAAAGTAATTATGTGCAATGAATCCTAAATTTTCCCGAGTTTGAATTATAAAAGCTTCTTAGAACTTTTGAACCTTTCATGTAATAACAAAATGAATAAAAAAAGCTAACCTAATATTAATTTTTTTAATTAAATCAAATCTGATATTAGTATATAATGTAAAAAAAGTCAAGCATATTAGATAAGAAGATACGAATGAAATTCAATAATATAATTAAAAGTCTAGAGCCCGGGGGCTTTTTTTTAACCCTTTGCGGACAGTGTGTCCGGTCTGGACACACATAATAATTTCCTTCTATACGCACAGAAAAATTGAATGAAAAGAGATTTATAGGTTACTATAGGTTACTCTGAGCCTTCTTTATTTATAGTAGATGGCAGCTCAACACAAACCAGTCCATGTATTTTAGCCATGTTTAGTTTTTTAAAACCCTCATTTTTCAAAGAAATCTTCCAGATTTTTTTAGGGTATAAAAGGAATTGTTTGAAAAGAAATTTCTATGTTATTTTTTTGCTATATGCTAATCTCCTTATTCTATATTAGTTTTAAATTTTTACCTTGAAATCTTGCCTAAAATCAAACGGCGAACCCTAGATGTGTCCAGACCGGGCTCACCGATAATCTAGGACAACTGAGAGTCTGTATTCTTTGTTTCTCCGCATCTCATAGGTCAGTTCATTGACAACAATGTTCGTTTCAGCACTCTTTTCCGAAGGTCTATTCAATCAGTGTGTCACTTTGAGCACACCCACAGAATTAAAACGATAAGTGCTATCTTCACAAAATTTTACTTGTATACTCCTCTAAGCCTAATTAGACTGCCTACCTTTTTTTTTTTTAAATCAGAACTCCGACTTTAAAAGGTAGCGTGCCGGAAACGGTTAAATATAATTTGGCATCAGTACTCTTGAAAGTGGACCATGAAGATAGGAATAAGGTTTGCAGCACATAAGCTAAATATCGACCGAAAAAGCAAAGCCGCATTTGTGCACTTACTGCCCAGAATTTGAATCTGTTTCCTGCTACAAACGCTGACTGGTTACAGGAGTATTGTTAGACGTCAATAAAACTTATCTATTCAAAGTTTTGAGATTATGATTCGAACACTTAACAGTTTTTGGATTATGATTCGAAAAATTCGAATGACGAAAAAATTCTAGATTTTGAATCTCTAATTTTGGAATATGACGACTCAATTATTCCATCCTTAGAAATAATGATTTTTTTTTCAGTTTTCCGCATAAAATGTATTGATATTTACTTTCCTGACTATTGTAAGGTTGCCACAAAAATATATATATATATAGTTTTATTGGTTCCCTGAGTTGAAAAAGTTTGAAGACCTTTCTATAAACTCTAGATTATATACTGTTTACGTGAATTAATCAAAAATTCTAGTTATATTAATCCTTTCAATTCCAATTAATCGGAATTCATGGAATTATGAAAAAAGCTCCGTATTTCGAGGGTGTCGCAATTACTCTGCCAGAACCCTTCTTCTTGTACAAAAACGGTGTTTGTATTTTGAGGTATTTGCCAAATAAACGGAATCTCAAATCAACCAGTGGACCCTACCAACTTAAACCAAATTGGTTAGATAATAAACTCCCCAGCAGGTGTTAAACAAAAAAGCTGTCCCAAATAAGCTTAGAATACCCTTCATAACAAAAATGTATACACCATATTTGAGATTCATAACAAACAAACAGGTTCCAATAAACAGGTATCCCTATTAACCAGAATCGATTGAATATAAAAATGAGCATAGTATTACTTCACAAACATTATTAATATACGTAACATTGAAATAACTTTATGAATAAGTATGTACAATCAGTTGTATATCGTCTGTTGTTTATATAATTATTATAAATAACGATTTGAGGAGCATTGGATGATTCTAAAACGGCACGTCAATTCTAAAACGGCACGTCGAGTCATTCTACCTGTGGTGGTGAGTGTTTTTGGAATTCCACTTTTGGGTATGATCCAGATCTGTTTCTAAATGTGTCCAATGGCTGCCAACGTTCTGAGAGATTTGGTCGATTTGGCCCGAATTGTTCTTCCTTGCTATGCCCCTCTGAGCTCTCCGTATTTCTTGTCCTCTCCACCAGGATTTCTTTGAATTTGTCTTCAGTTTGCTGCTGGTGCTGTTCCATCTTTTGCCATTTTCGTTTTTTCTTCCATCAGCATCTTCAACGGCAACGTTTTTTGGAGCTAATTCAATTTTCTCACTACCAGAATCCAAAGAATCATTTCCTAGGCCTTCAGCAATCGGATTTTTACCTAAAGCAGATGCAGCAGAGATTATATGGTCACGTCTTTCTGAGGAATCCGTGTTCTCATCCCAGGTGTCCTGTTGCCTCGCTGAAACTGGTATCATTTCACTCGCTAAGCCTTCGTTGTGATTTTGTTCAAAAGCATAATCATCACCCACATTTTTCCAGTTGCTTCTCCTTGAAGCATCTGCTGACGATTCATTTGTCTTCCAGTTTCCAGTTTGTGTGTTAATGATTGTTTTATCATGGTTTTGTTTCACCTTAGTTGTAGAATCTTCAGGTCTTAGATAACCAAACCTTTTGTTGACAACATTACTTCCTGCTGCTGCCCACCTGTTGACCCGATTTCCAACAGCAGAACCCCCTTTAACACGCCAACTTCCACCAGGTCCAGCACCTTGGTCTCCCCTCCATGCTCCTCGCTTGGACCCACGATCTAGATCGGATCGTTGTTGTCCACCTGGTCTCCAAGGTCCCTGTACAACGGGAGATTTTTTGCTGTCACGGACATTTGGTGTTCCACGAGGTATTCCTGAAGGGACACTCGGTACTCCAGCAGAGACTGGCCTTAACCCTTGTCCCGTAGAGACTCCCAGAGTGGTTGCGGGTCCACCAACTGTTCCCAGACTTCCTCCTGGTTGCCCAACGGATGGTCCAATTTGTGTTGGGGTATCTGGTACTAAGCCTCCGCCAGTATTCCCACTTGGTGCTAGACCATCTGAAACACTACCAATATCGCTATCATATCCAGCTCCTTCCTGTGATCCAGGTGCAAGTGGAATACCTCCTGCTCCTGAAGTCGGGTACCCTGCTCCAAGACCGGCAGATTCCGGTTCTCCTCCTGTAGCTGGGAATCCTGCCCCTGGAATACCAGTTCCAGGTCCTCCTCCTATAGCCGGAAATCCTGCTCCTGGAACGACAGATCCAGGTAGTTCCCCTGTAGCCGGGATACCTGCTCCTGGAACAGGAGATCGAGATCCTTCTCCTGCAACTGGGAAGCCTGTTCCTGGAATGGCAGATCCTAGTTCTACTCCTGTAGCTGGGAATCCTGCTCCTGGAACAGCAGATCCAGGTTGTCCGGCGCCTTCGAAAGGAGTTCCTTTGAAATTTCCTCCATGACCTGGTTTGTAGAGATCTGCGTTTAGGCCGTAGTAAGATGATGTATCTGCGCAGTTGAAGTTGAACCACCAATCACAAACGAAGTACTGCTGATTGAAGATCGTTCCCAGTGGGCAGAGGAAGGAATCATGGCGCCCATCAGATTGGCATATATGAAATACCTAAGGTAGAAAAGAACATTTTGAAATCAATTAGGGTCACACAAAGAGGATTAGAAAATAAATTGCATTTTAGGTAACATTATCGAATGTAGAGAAAATACAGACAAATGTAACTGCATTCGGTCGACGGCCATCACGATAATAAGAACTAGAACATTTGTGTGATTCGGTGCTTTCAGTGTATTTTGTGTGTAAGACTGACTGGTATGCTATTGGGATAGAATTTTTATTTCTCCATTTTCCTTTTTATATTGTATGACTTTTGAAAATAGCAAAGGGTTTTATTTATTTATTACTATTATTTGTTTTTAATTTGAACGCTTTTATTTTTCTTGATGAATTAAATAATAAAAACTTCCGTGGAGGAAACTCAATGGAGATTTAATTTATCTTTCAATTTTGCAGCCCTTGTCGAATCTTTGGATGGATGTAGATTTTGTAAATGTACGCTGCCTTTCTCTGTCAGACACTATCTTTTTTTCTTTGTCCTAACATGTGAAATTGTATCACACATTTCACTGTGACCCGACGATTTTCCTCTCCGTTATGCCACTGTTTGCTTTCATTTTTATGCCCTTCAACTTTTATTCCACGAATCTTAAACCATACGTGATAGCTTAATGCTGTACTACTGTTTAAGAGCTCTCTTATGAAGAAACCCTGCTTATGCCTCTTATGACAGATGTGCGATACTGTTACAACATAATCATTCCAAGTGACGTAATTGAAACTGTACTGCGAGGCAATGCAGATACGTTATAAGGCATTTGACTTTAATGTTGCAAGCGTTAAACTTTATGTTAAAAATCTGATATATGAAAAAGAGAGCTAACGAACTACAATGAAATGCTTGATGTCACTTCTGACTAAGAAAGAGCTATCGTTTGGCATTTATGTAAGAGAATGCTCTGAATGTAACAGAGAAACATGAAAACTTCATACATCTTATTCTGACTGTTTTAAAAATTTAGAATTGTCTAACGCTTTATTGCGGCAGTTTTTCATCTTTTTGTTGTAAACGGTAACTGAAAATAAAATAAGGATAATAATAATAATAAATGTTACGTGCATACAGGTTCATAATCGATTAAATGCACGCACAAACCGTTAGCTTAAAAAAATTTTATATCATACACACAAAAAAAAAAATAATTAATTAATTAAAATAAGCGAATAAGGTTTCAGAGCTATAAAGTTGCAGAAATTTAGATAAAATGCAAATCGCATCTAAAAGAACGAAGCCTCAATGCTCAGAACTCAACTGAAAGCTGAATCGAATCGAAGTTAGGCTGCCAGGCACGACGGGTCCGGCTCGATAACAAAATAAGACTATAATGGAACGTCATGTAAGAGAATCTTGAACAGTGGTACCTCATAAAAGGTGAGGCGGTAAAAAGCAAAAGCGGTGACCAGTTGCCATCGCAGAAATCTCGGAAGGGATAGTTCAAAGATACATCTGAAAAAAAGAACTCTCGGCAGCACTAAGATCATCAAGATGGGAAGTCGTGCAAAACAATTTTTATTGCTTAAATCCATTTCTTCCAACTATTATACTAGTTCAAATACAATTTTTAAATTTTGCCATGGAGATCTGGCATTTTTCATCTTGTTGTCGAACGATTTGAATTTAGTAATAAAAGCTTTCGGTCTTCAGATAAGGACAGAAAACATTTGAAAATCTATTTCACATTTCATTCAGTTTAAATACTAGTTTTGGGGGTCTGCATCATTGAAAAAATTTCTGAGGACGGTTCTTTCTTCTTTCTATAAAATTTCTTTTCAGAGTCTATCCATATACGATAAAGCGGGCATTTCCCAGTATTGCACGGGATGTTCCCTTGGCATCTAAGGCACGTAGCTTTCTCCTGCTTTGGCAGTGTACATGTGTATGTTATATGCGATAAACTATACTTCAAGCATCTGGGTGCGCTAAAACAACCGAATTGGTTGTGTCCAAATCTCTGACATCGGAATCAAGTACTGGGAGATTTTCCTGGCTTGAATTTTCGAACTGCGACCTGGAAAGAAGAGAGAGTTCTAATCGTAAAAATACTAAGTACATCATCTGTTTTTGGAACTTCTATAAAGAAAGTCGAGAGCTAGATTATAGATCCAGTTCTTTCCTCTCAAACTACACTCATGTCCATAAATTAAGGATAATGCAAAAGCAGGCAAAGGAAGAGTTAGAAGCAAAACAAATTTGACTTATTTGTAAAGCTTATTTATTAAACAAAAGGTAAACAGCAAAAAAAGATGCTATATGTTTGATATTATTAAAAAATTAGCGATATTTTCTTCCTAGAGCAAATTATAAAAACAACCTATTTACAAAAAACCAATATTACATGGTTGGTATGATTGTTAATACATTGTATGTCTCCCAGACGATGCAATACAGTCCGTACAACACCCAGACATGCTGAGTATCAAATTATCGATCTGATCTTGGGGGATATTACACCACTCAAAAAGCAATGCTCTCCGAAGTTCCGGTAGACATGTAGGAGGAGGTTGACGGGCTGCAACTCGTCGGCCAAGCATGTCCCACACGTGCTCTACTGGATTCAAGTCCGGTGAGAACGCTGGCCAGTCCATACGGGTGATATCCTCCGATTGAAGGCATTCGCTTACGATGTTTGCACGGTGAGGACGGGCGTTGTCACCCGTAAACACAAATTGTGCGCCCATGGTGCCCCGAAAAATACGTACATATTGTTCCAGAATGACGTCCCGTAAGATTTGGCTTGTCGTGGTTCCAATTTGAACATGCAGGTCAGTTCTGGAACCCAGAATAATTCCACCGCAAACAAGCACTCCTGCACTACCGTAACGGTGTCGTTCAATGATGTTTTCTTGGTGGTGACGGGTACCTGGAGCTCTCCATATGAAAGTCCGGCGAGAATCAGACTGCAAGCTAAACCTGGACTCGTCGGAAAACATCACACAAGCCCACTGTTGCGGTGTCCACAATGCATGCTCTCTACTCTAGGCTAACCGCAGGCGACAGTGAGTTGCAGTAAATGGAACGCATCTGACAGGTCTACGAGCATATAGACCAATCTGCTCTAAGCGTCTGTACACGGTTTGCCTTGAAATTGTCGTACCAGTGGCTAAAGAGAGCTGACGAGACAGGTCAGAGGCTGTGCTCCGCCTGTTTCTTTTGGCAGTAACTGCCAAATACCGGTCCTCATTCGGCGTTGTAACTCTGGCGCGATCTGTGCTGTAACGTCTACTCACATTACCATCATCTTGGAATCGTTGCCAAAGCCTGGAGATGACACTCTGGGCAATTCCAAGTTCGTCTGATACTTCCAGTTGGGTACGCGCACATTCCAGACGGCCGATAATTCTACCACGTAAAAAATCATCCAAATGCGTCCTTTGTGTCATAACTATTCGGTTATTGCACTGAAATGCTTATAAAGCGCCTGCGAACAACTTTACTTCTTTGCCTGTATTCCTTATATATCACTCTCTTACACTCTCGTCATTGTGACGTACCATCGGTGTCATCTGGTTACTTCCTGAAATTTGCATATGATTCTTGAAGATGTGTGTAGTGATTTTACAGGTGATATATTTATTTTAGAGTTCGATTTCCGCGACTCCGAATTATCCTTAATTTATGGACATGAGTGTATTTCACCTTCGAAACAGGAAAATTTAGGCGAAGTCGTTCTTCTTTGATATCTGTTTCCAGGGTGTCTGAAGTTAGTTCAGTAATGATCACTTTAAGAGGGGGTCTGTAGGTTTATAGTAAAAACAAAATTGTACACTCTGCACAAAAAGAATGGACAGTTTTATATCTTCCGTTTAACTGGACGAAATTCAACTTGCGTTTTTCATGTCTCGAAAGCGTGAATTAAGTTATAAGATTTATGTACGATTATATACAGCATTGTTCTTACATATTATATATCATATATTACATATCTTATATCTTATACATATCTTATATCATATTAAAGATCTTATATTAGATTTATATACAGCATTGTTCTTACATAGATTTTTGTGCCTAAAGTCTTACTTTTTCTGAAATGACGTATCGATTTTTTTCATATTTCGATTTTACGACTAAAATTATGCTTAAATATTAAATTGTGTAAAATTTGGTGAGAAACTTACCGTGAAATTTAAAAACTTATCTTGACGCACGTTTTTCAGTCTGCGCCAAGAATAACTTAATAAAATTCTTAATTTATAGTAACCTATTTTCTTTCCTTGTTTCATTGTACACGAGCAAAAGGTGCAACGTTCATTCTTTCAAATAATTTTAACAGAGTGTGTAAAGCACATTTGGCGTTATAATCGCTTATAACAAATAAGCCAAAGTTCAAAATGCGCCAGTATATCAATTCGCCTATATCTTTGAAAATTTTGCTTAGAATTTTAGGAAAAATCGCTTAGAAAAAATATATGAAATTTCAAAAGGTGCCAATATGTAAATTCACGTATATCTTTCGAAATTTTGAATAAAAAACTCTAATTTTTTGCAGATATGTCTAGAAATGCATCTACTTTAAGGTGATGGTAAAAAATTTATAGCTAATTTTATAGGTTTATAATAAAAAAATGTTCGAAAAAATTTATAAAAATTAACTTAAAAAACACAAATTAAAAAAAAAAATTATTGGAAAATATCTACAAATTTTATCTGGATTAAACATAACATTCGAATTCTGAAATAAAAACGGAATAAAGTGAGTTTAATAAAAAGAGAGATATGAATAAATACATACCAAGTTGAATTAACATCGAAGAACTAAAATTTTGAGAGCTTTTTTTTAAAAAAACTGCTAGTGCGATTTTTACAAAATTTGACGTTTTCGCATAATTGAGTCGTAGACTGGAAATGCTGAAAAAATAGGTATGTCATTTCGGAAAAATTCGGTTTTTGTCTCAGAATAGCTACGTTAGAACGAAGCTAAATATAAATATAATATAGACCGTAAGTCGAGCTTTTGAGGCATGAAAATCGCAAGTTAAATTTCGTCCATCGGTTCAGTAAAAAAGGGAGATACAGAGCTATATTTTTCTTATGCAAATTGTATATTGTTTTTACAAGTATGGGCATTGCTTTGTGGTACAATTTCTTCAGATGAGTAAAAGAAAATTTTTGCAATTCCTTGGAAAGCATACCGATATAATTTTTCTATGCTGTCATTTTTGAAAATTTTACGTATGAATTTTCAAGGAATATCTTGCTCGGATCAGGGATCGGCGAAAGCTTCTCAGGATTTTCCTTATTCTGGCATTTCAGTTTGCATTTTTCTTCTGTCCTACTTGATCAGAAAAGAAAAAAAGCAGTTTTTGTAGGGCTGTTTTCAGTCATTTGCACTAATAGTTGAAAACTGATACTCTCTCCTATCTTATATTTCCAGTACCTTGGATTTCTGAAATTGCTGGAAGCCATACACAGTTACACAGATTCGGCATACGCAATACAATTACAGTTACACAAGGCCGGACATAGTTACAATAACATAACGATTGAATCAAAAAAAAACGCTCTAAATCCGGCGACTTTTGGCAATTTCTCACGAATTTGGCGACACACAGATTAGTTGCCAAATCTATCGCTAACATGGCATGCATTTTAACTCGTTGCTAAATGGACTTACCCCGTAACTCTATTTCCGGCGATGCTTCGCATATACAAGAATACTACAATTTTACATATAATTTTTACAGTTAGTTTACATTATAACAAAATTCATAAATAATAATAATAATAATAATAATAATAATAATAATAATAATAATAATAATAATAATAATAATAAAGGATAATAATAGAATTAGAATTTGTGAATGTGGTTAAACTTCCCGTAAACTATGCAAAAGTAACCTATTACATAAAATGCTAAGAAGTAATGCACTCAATATTGATAGTACATCAGCTTGAGGCTATTATGTATTAAGACCTTATATTTTAACGGGAGTGACTTCTACAGAGGATTTAAAATTTAAATTTATCTCTAAAACGTCCATAAATCCGAAGCTTAGTAATACAGAGATTGTTTTTTTAGTAATACAGAGATTGAGACAAATTTGTAGACCAATTTGCATTAACATAAAAAATTGTCTGCTTGGAGATTTTTTTTAAACTACAACTATATTTTTAACAGTATACACTATCGTCTGCTATTTGACAGCACCGTTTTATGCAAAATGGCGCTTTTGAAGAAGCAATGGATGAAAGTCTATGTTTGTGCTCTTTCCGAAGAAAATTATTCTATAGTTATTGAAAAACGCTATGAAAACCATGGTTTTTTTATTTCTAAAGCTATAATAGCTCATATTGCCAACAAGAAAGGAAACAAAACGACAAAATGTGGTTTCAAATGCAAAAATAGTTCCGAATACATATCGAAGGAAAAATGGAATGTTTCGAATGTTGCAAAGGTAAGATTTTTAATGTTGAAAGCAAAATCCTCCGAGTCAAAGGAACAGTTACAAAATAATTAAAATGATGAATTAATGCCGACATGAATCTTAGAAAATGCGAAGAAACATAATGGGCATCTTCTTTCTCCATGACATAACGCAGAACGCACTGCAGAATACTTTATAAAAAATATTTATCCCGACAAAATTAATTGTGTGTTTAAATTGTACATAATTTTTATTTCGCATTTTTTAATTATATGAATTATTTTTGAGAATTTACCTGAAATTTGTACGTTGCCACTTGCAAACACGATTATTTGCTAATTGTTAATAGGGAACATTATGAACTATTAATTAAACTATGCCAGATAATAAATTGGTTAATTAATTATATTTCACCCTCTTTCTAATTTGCCCCCCAATTTAAGGATTCGGACTACGCTCACAAATTTTACTGGAATTTTAAAATGCATTGGCACTTACAGATTGAAAATGTTACTGCAACCAAACAATTTTTTAAATATTTTTAGGGTTGATTTCCTTTTTATGAGTCTTGGTGAATCGCTCCGGATATAAAGTACTACTAAGTAGTGCATTTATTATTAATTATGACCAAAATAAACCTGAAGTTATTTGCAAATCGTACCCTTTTCCGACGCACAATACAGCAATATACTCTTAAAATTTATCTCTGCGGTAGAGTGGACGTGTATATATAGTGGCGTATGTGTTTTACAGTATTGTGGGAAACATATTGAACTTGTTCTCACCTGGCATTGAGCTGCTGGATCACCATAATATCCTGGATATTCTTGTTGTTTACAATCGAAAGAAGTAGCCGGTACGGTATTGTAGTTTGGATAATCCACTCCAGGTGTTCCAGGAATGGAATCTTCCAATCTCCATTGGCTGGGGTCATCTCCAGGGTATACTGTATCCCCGCCTTTGTAGTTACCTTGAGGGAACGGCGGCCTTGCACCACGTGGTGGTCCTCCACCAGTGTCTCCCCGAATGCCTTCGAAGCCTAGACCTGGAGCGGGTGAGGCACCCAGTCCATCACTTCCTGGGAAACCGGCAACATCTCCTCCGGGTAGATCTTGGCTGCCGATAGTATCCCCTGCTTGCCCAGGAGATGGGGGTGAGGGCACCCCAGCTTGATCAAATCCGGGTGTTCCAGTCCAGCTTGTGTCTCGTCCAGGCTGAACTCCATCTTGGGTACCGATATAATCTCCACCTGCAGTTCCTGTAACACCAGTAGTACCTTGATCATAACCGTCCTGAATACCCTGTTGGGGTCCTTGCCCTATACCTCTTCCTATATCCTGAATACCCTTTTGGGGTCCTTGATCTGCATCCTGAATATCCCTCTGGGGTCCTTGCCCTATTCCTCTTCCTGTATCCTGTATACCCCGTTGATGTCCTTGACCTACTCCTCTTTCTCCATCTTTGATTTGGGCATCTACAGGACTCCAAGTAGCTCCGCGAGGGGCTTGACCTCCACTGCTAGTCCATGATCCGTCATCTTTCACCTGTGAATCCCCAGGTGCCCATCCTCTTGTTCCTTGTCTATTATCACCTGGAATCCAACTTCTACCGCCTTGTTCTGGAGTTTCTGTGATTGAAGGGTCTTTAACCTGGGCATCGCCTGCTTGCCACGATCCTCCTTGTGGTCTTCCGCTCCAGTCAACAACGTCATTTCTTGCTCCTCCATCTGGTGCCTGAATGCCAACTAATTGATCGGTTCCAGGAACAGACGATCCCCAGCTACCCCCTATTGATTGTCCTCTTCCAGCACTTCCTGATGTATCGTCTTTAATCTGGGCATTCGCTGCATCCCAGCCACCACCTGATCTTGTTCCACCGGTGGACCATACACCCTGGTCTTTAATTTGGGCATCTGCTTCATTCCATCCGCCAGTTGTCTGGTCGTATTTGATTTGTGAATCCCCCTGGTTCCAGCCATTAGCCGCATTGCCTCCACCTTGGACAATTTTCAGCTGCTCATCACCTGGTTCCCAGTTTCCCGCGGATGGTTGCTGACCGCTACTAGTCTGCCAATCCTTTTGTTGAATATCATCTGCTGACCATCCTCTGGAGCCTTGTTGACTGCCTTGACCATCAATCCAGCTTCCATCACTTTTTATCTGAGCATCGGCAGCGCCCCAGTTATTAGTCTGCTGAGAAGCTGCGGAGTCCCAGTTTCCGATTCTGTTGATTTGCTGTGCTTTTGCTTGGTGTCCCCAATCATACCATTCCTGGTGCCACCCTCTTTCGATTTCTTGAGACCTACTTATTTCATCTGAGAAGCTAACTGATGCAGAAAGACCTATAAGGAAAAGTTATATTTAAGAAGATAAATTTTGCAATGTATTTTATGCTTATATTTCACTGCCTTCTATACGGCATTGCTATAGAAGGTTCTGCTTTAACAAACCAAGTGTTTTCTATAACTTTTATTTGTTTATTTAATTGGTAAACAGACGAAGGTTACTTATGCGTAACGTAAAAGGTGCCCTAAAGGAAAATATATTTTGGTTACTCGTGCTTGATGGAAAGGATGTCTAAATAAAAGAATTAAATTATAAAAAAAGTGCAATCTGCTCTCTCCTTTAGTTGAATCTAATGGTTTTCTAATTTTGTCTCCTCTGGAAACGAATAAAAGCTGTAATTGTTTCGAGTCCATCATAAATTCTCGGAAAAGTAAATGTTAAAGGAATATTGAAGTATAGTGAATCTTTCCGTAGCAATCAACGCTCTACGACGACGCCTTCAAAAAGTATGATATTTTGGGAAACATAAATAAACATCGTTACCGAACATCATCTCTCCAAACTCACAGCCTCTAGGATTCACCAAAATCGAGGGTGGTCGTGTTATAGAGCATTTACTGTGTATCAATTTTGAGTATACTTTGTGTTGAAGATGAAACTAAATCAGCATCATAAACCATTATTTCGCTATAATTTTTCTTGCAAAAACAGATCTAGTAGTAGACTCTTTCTTAGGCGATCACATACGATTCCAAATACTTTTGTTCTCCCACGACAGTGTCATCATCAAGAGGTTATATTCAATATCGATGTTTATTTACATTCTTAGAAATGCTGGTATTTTCAAAAGTGGTTCGCTTAGTGAATGTTACTTTTATATTTTTAATTCGTCTCTATTTACTGCTATTTCTTTTTTTGTTGAGCCCTACCTCATTAGAAAAGTAAATATTTGGAAAGGCTTGATAACACGATCAGCCCTAATAGAACAATTCATGATTTCACATGATTTTCGTCTTCTGTGAAGAAAAGGTGATGTTCAATATCGATCTTTATTTAGATTCTCAGAAATGCTGTTTATTTCCATAGGTTGTCGTCTAAGGGAAGTTGACATTACAAGTTAATTGTTTGTGGAGAGCAGCCTACCCACATGACCACAAGTGGGCCTAGGGCTTAATTAGTCTGTCTCAGGTATAGGTATAAACACACCAGACTCATTAAAGTAGCTGATCGATTGTTATAGATATAATTCATAATCTTTCTTGATATACTTCTCGCCTTGTCAAAATTTGATAAACCCATTCCACACTGAAAGCCCTATGTATGACTAAATCTTTCTTTATATCTTTTATAAGTGGACATATTTCCCCAAAATGCTTAGCATCTTTAATGCTGCCACAGAAATCAGAGTTTTGAAGATTCAGTCTTTTAAAGTACGCAGGAAAACGGCCATGACCCGTTAAAATGCGATTCAAATCTATGTCACTGTATGTATATTTTTTTATATTGTTACCAGTTTTTAGTTTTAAGTTTTATGTGACATTTCTCATTTTTCTTTCCGTAATTTGTAAGTATAATTCTTCATCAGGGTCGTGGCCTTCCTCTTTGACCTCTGCAGCTTAATGATTTCAATGCCATTTTATGTACTAGCCTGTTTGGCAAATGCGTCCGCCCTCTCCTTTCCAATAAAACCAGCTTGTGCTTTTGCCCAATTCAAATGCCTGCCCAGAAGATCAAAACATAGTCTTTTTATAACTAGTATCAGTTTATTTGTCTGGTTTGGGCAGGGGAGTGCCTGCAAAGTTTATAAACTGTCGATATATGTATTGATTAACTTACGGTTTTTAAACTTTTCACTCACTTAAAATTACCCATTTCCATAAATACTCATTCTATATCACTGCGTGTACTTTATGAAAACCAAATTTCATTTCATTGTAATTATATTTTGCAAAACGGATTTACTTTATATCACGCTGAGCACCGTCTAGTACGACAACACGTTTTCAAATGGTTTAGTCTTCTGTGCAACGGATCTTAGAGGAATGATATTTAGTTCTGGTCTTAATTACGTTCTCAGGTGTGCTGCTTACGTTTAGAGGTGATCGAATACGGAAAGTGGTCGCTGCGAGAAGTTTCTTATTTTAATTATATCATCTTACATTTAGTCATTACAGTTTTTATTTCGAGGATCCTGTCACCTTTAAAGACGTTCCCCTCCTCCAATGGCGTGCACTAGCCGTTGCAGGCGTTGGCTACTATTAAAACCGAAAGCGGTGGTCACTTTATTATGGAGGCACGTAATAAATGGGCCACCTTTACCTCCTATTAAGGGACGAATAATTTAAATCCCTGTCTTCTCCGGATTCTAACCTGGGCCCGGGTTCGGTACAGCAATCAGAATCACTAACCACTTTCCGGTCTTTGTAGACGCGCTTTTGCTTATTTTGTAACATTACAGCAATTTAAAAAAATGTTTTAGGCGGAGGGGATTTAAATTTGCCAGAATACCCATCAATTTAATGTGAATTATTTTGAGGTACAATAATTATTACTTTTTTGTTTTGAAAAATCTGTGTTGTTTAAACTTTTGGATAAGTTTTAGCCCACAGAAAATATCGATAAATGCATATGACAAGTTAAAAGTATAATTTTTTATTTGGATTTATAGTAAAATTCAGAGAACCACAACAGGATCCTTAAAAATTTTAACAAATTTTATTGACTGATATTAAAGCTTCTCACCTATGATGAGAGTAATAATCCATCCTCTCTTACTCGGCGCCATTCCGTTCCCTTCCTGGAATAAAAGTTCACGTGAATTATAATTATAGAAATATCTTTTTAAAAATATGCTAGTGACGAAGAATCAATGTTATTTAGCAAAAATATGCGAACTACACATACGCAGTCAAATGTTGTAGCAGCCACAGGAAAGTAAATATAAAATGAAACCAATGAAATGTTTTTTCTCCCTTGTATGAAGTAAAGGAAGCATTGTAATCGCGAAAAATTTCGCATATCATATTTCAACACAAATTTCCATTCTGACCGTTCCCGAATCGATTCTGACGATCTTTTTGCATGATAACTGTACGTACAGACAGAATAAAGGATTTTTTTTTTTTTTTTTTTTTTTTTTTTCAAAATGACTGTAATATGGATTAGAATAGAAAATTTTCTTAACGTTTATGGCCTACATTTGCTCATATATACGTATGTTCTGCTTAGCGTAATTTGCTAAGTATAATGTCTTCGGATCAGGGTCGTGGCCTTCCTCGTGACCTCTGAGTTTTAATGATCAATGCCATTTTATGATTCTAGCACTGTTTGGCAAATGGTCCGTCACTCTCCTTTCCAATAAAAACCAGACTTGTGCTGTGCCCCAATTCAAATGCCTGCCAGAGATCTAAACATAGTCTTTTTATAACTAGTATCAGGTTATTTGTCTGGTTGGGCAGGGGAGTGCCGCAAAGTTTATAAACTGTCGTCGAATATTTATTGATTAACTTACGGGTTTTGAAATTTTCACTAACTTAAAATTACCAGTTCACATAATAAAATACTCGTTCTAATCACTGACGCTGTACGTTATGAAAACCAAATTTCATTTATTGTCATTATATTTTGCAAAACGGATTTACTTTATATCACGCTGAGCACCGTCTCGTACGATAACACGTTTTCCAAGGTTTAGGTTCTGTGCAAAAGATCTTAGAGGAATGATATTTAGTCTGGGCGCATTACGTTCTCAGGTGTGTGCTTACGTTAGAGGTGATCGAATACGGAAAGTGGTCGCTGCGGGAGAAGTTTCTTATTTTAATTATCATCGTACATTAGTCATTCAGTTTTATTGCGAGGATCCTGCTACCTTTTTAAACGGTTCCCTCATCCATGGCGTGCACTAGCCGTTGAAGGCGTGGCTACTATTAAAACCGCAAAGCGGGGGTGGTCAACTTTATTATGGGAGGCACGTAATAAATGGGCCACCTTTACCTCCTATAAGGAGAATAATTTAAATACATGTTTATCCGGATTATGAACCTGGCACTTTATTATTATTTTATATTATATTATTATTATTATTATTATTATTATTATTATTATGAATTTTGTATATATGTAAATAACTGTAGTAAAATTATATGTAAATTGTAGTATTTCTTGTATATGCGAAGCATCGCCGGAAATAGAGTTACGGGGTAAGTCCATTTAGCAACGAGTTAAATGCATGCCATGTTAGCGATAGATTTGGCAACTAATCTGTGTCGCCAAATTTCGTGAGAAATTGCCAAAAGTCGCCGGATTTAGAGCGTTTTTGATTCAATCGTTATGTTATTGTAACTATGTCCGGCCTTGTGTAACTGTAATTGCGTATGCCGAATCTGTGTAACTGTGTATGGCTTCCAGCAATTTCAAGAAATCCAAGGTACTGGAAATATAAGATAGGAGAGAGTATCAGTTTTCAACTATTAGTGCAAATGACTGAAAACAGCCTACAAAAACTGCTTTTCTTTTCTGATCAAGTAGGCACAGAAGAAAAAATGCAAACTGAAATGCCAGATAAGGAAAATCCTGAGAAGCTTTCGCCGATCCCTGATCCGAGGCAAGATATTCCTTGAAAATTCATACGTAAAATTTTCAAAAATGACAGCATAGAAAATTATATCGGTATGCTTTCCAAGGAATGTGCAAAAATTTTCTTTTACTCATCTGAATTGTACCACAAAGCAATGCCCATACTTAGTAAAAACAATATACAATTTGCATAAGAAAAATATAGCTCTGTATCTCCCTTTTTACTGAACCGATGGACGAAATTTAACTTGCGATTTTCATGCCTCAAAAGCTCGACTTACGGTCTATATTATATTTATATTTAGCTTCGTTCTAACGTAGCTATTCTGAGACAAAACCGAATTTTTCCGAAATGACATACCTATTTTTTCAGCATTTCCAGTCTACGACTCAAATTATGCGAAAACGTCAAATTTTGTAAAAATCGCACTAGCAGTTTTTTTAAAAAAAAGCTCTCAAAATTTTAGTTCTTCGATGTTAATTCAACTTGGTATGTATTTATTCATATCTCTCTTTTTATTAAACTCACTTAATTCCGTTTTTATTTCAGAATTCGAATGTTATGTTTAATCCAGATAAAATTTGTAGATATTTTCCAATAATTTTTTTTTTTTTAATTTGTGTTTTTAAGTAATTTTTATAAATTTTTCGAAACATTTTTTTATTATAAACCTTTTCTCCCTTGTATGAAGTAAAGGAAGGCGATCGTATCGCGCAAAATTTCGATATCATATCACACCAAATTCCACACCGTTCCCGAATCGATTTGACGGATCTTTTGCTTGTGATAACGTACGTTACAGAAAATAAAGATTCTTTTTTTTTTTTTTTTTTTTTTTTTTCAAAACTGACCTAATATGGATTAGAATGGATTCAGAAAAATTTTTCTGACGTTTGTACGTTCGTATGTTACAGCCTACTGGTTTTTCAGTTAGCTCGGCCACATATATTACTATGTCCTGCATCGTATGTATGTGCTTAGCATTATGTGCTAGCATTAATACGACGGCCTTTAGCATTAACTCAAAAAAAGTGAGCTTAGACGTCTGTGGCAGAGAAAAAAGAAAAGAACTATTTTTCCAAAAGATGCTAATGAATAAATGGATTAAAAAGCGATTTTTCTTGAGGTTCGTACGGACGTATGATGTTTGCATATACCTCGCACAAATAAAAACGTTAAAAACTGAAATTTTGAATATAATCCACGCTACCCACTGAAACCCTTAATGGCCATATTTTGAAACATGGTCGGTCAAGAGTCCACCTAGCGAAATGTTTAACGAAATACAGTTGGGCAGATGCAATAAAAAAAAAAAAAAAAAGATATGTTCAACGAATAACGACGGTAAATTTAATGCTGTCTACCACGTTCTATACGTGAAGAATTTTTTCATATCGTTACGAGAAATAAAATTAAAGAATTTTTTGATTCGTGGAATACAGGAAGTCAAAAATAAGTGTTAAAAAAAAAGGTGTAATGGTCGAGGAAAATTGAAAGAGAGTAATAAAGAAAAATGTTAATTTCAAGCCGTACAAGGAATGTACGCAGTGTGTACAAGGAATGCGTACAATTGCAATGTGTGTAATTTACAAGGCCGTACAAGGGAGTCATGTTGCACATCAGTTTTTTTTTAACTATATAAAACATTCGAACTGGGTGTTAAATCTTTCAGAATTGGCAATAAATTTCTTTAAATGGAGATTTTTCGTTAGGCCATGGACACTAAAACAGCCCTAAGAATGAGGAGTGGATGTTGGCTGTTGACGCGCACCGTTTGATGCCGTTCTTAGCTGCAGAGAATTGGCAACAGCGTGTTGATCTCTCGAGAGTTCATATACGTTACTACTAGTTGCGGTATGTGAGGCCACAACTTGTAACAACCTTCGTTTTTTGCAAATAAATTTATGTTTTGTTATGTTATGTTTGTTTGTTATGTAATTTATGTTTGTTTGTTATGTATGTTTATGTTTGTTGTATAAAAGGTATTTTTCTTGTCACATAACATCACTTTTTACAGTCCGCTAGTGAAAGACAATGAATGTAGTTTCCGATACGCGGTTTGATTTGCGTTATGTTCGTTATAAGCGGGTTATTTTCAATACAATCGACTTTCGATTAATCAAAGCTGGATAAATCGAGTCCTGTCTAAAAAAGGGTAAAATTAATTTGTTGTTGGACGATGGAAAAATTACAATCACAAAAATTAAACGTGAAATAAAACTGTGTATGGAAAAGAAAAATGTGTGCTGTAACAGCAGAAATAGTAGACAATGTCAAAATGTATAATAATTACTTTTATCTAAATAATTTAATTGCTCGTAATCCGGAATGTGTTAGTGTTATAAGAAAAACAAAAAGTTTAACCGACTTTTTTTAAAACGAGTTAAAATGTAATGACGTCAGTCAAGTATTCTTGAAAATATTGCTCTTTAATGCCATTTTTCATTTCTAATGATGATCCGATATGAATAGTTTCTTACTTTAGTTTGTTTGTTTGAATATATTTTGTTCGCTTTGTGTTGATTTAATATACATGACCAATTAACTTATTATCCACATTAAATTACTTGAAAATGCAGATAACTAATTAACTGTATTTTTCAGATAATTGTAATTTTTTTTTTTTTTTTTTTTGTTTAACTGCCATCAGGTGTAATTTTAATTAACCGAGATTTTAAAAACTGATGTCTTCTTGATAAACTGGTTAATAGGAGATCTGAAAAACAATCAATATGTAATACTGCCGAAAATACTCAAAAGGAATAGCTAAGATGGAATTTTTTTAACGCGAATTTTTGCATTAAAATATATTCCAGAATCTTCTAGAAATCTACAACAGTTTAGAGAAACACGTCAAACTACCAGTTTGTAAAACAATATTCCTGACTGCTAACTTAGTCACTTATCTATTTCATTTAGATGAAACACAAATTTATAATTCTTTAATTAGTTAAATTGTGAGAAGGAATTAACACTTTCATCTAAAATTTCCTTATCGAGGATTTATATTAATATATTTTTTTATTTCTTGTACGAAATAAAGGAAGTATCGTAATCACGAAAATTTCTGGTTACCATATTTCAACGAAAATATCCATTGTGACCGCTATCGAATGCAATTTAACAATATTTTTGCGGGACATCTGCACGTAAGGACAGAATAAAGCACGCTTTTTCCCAAAACCAATTACAAAACGGATTTAAAATGGATTCAGAAGA